CATCAAGCACGATGAATCCGCCGAACCTGAACCCGAGCCCAAAGTGGCCATGAAGCCTATTCCATTTCCCGAAAAGGTACGTGCATCGCTCTGCTGCATTGGCCATCGACGCGACATCACCATGCTGACGAGCTGTCGTTCCCCTCCAGCCCGCCGTCATCGAAGAGCGCAACAACGAGATCGAGTTTCGTGTTGTCAACAACGATAACGAGCGCGAGTCCCTCATCATCCTCACTGGTCTCAAATGCATCTTCCAGAAACAGCTCCCGAAGATGCCCAAGGATTACATTGCCCGCCTCGTCTACGACCGCACGCACCTGTCGATCGCCATTGTGAAGAAGCCCCTCGAAGTCGTGGGAGGTATTACCTACCGCCCCTTCAAGGGACGACAGTTTGCCGAGATCGTCTTCTGCGCCATCTCTAGCGACCAGCAGGTCAAGGGCTACGGCGCCCATCTCATGTCGCACCTCAAGGACTACGTCAAGGCGACGAGCGACGTCATGCACTTCCTCACCTATGCCGACAACTACGCCATTGGCTACTTCAAGAAGCAGGGGTTCACCAAGGAGATCACGCTGCCGCGGTCCGTGTGGATGGGCTACATCAAGGACTACGAAGGCGGCACGATCATGCAGTGCTCGATGCTGCCGCGCATCCGCTACCTCGAGATGGGCCGCATGCTGCTCAAGCAGAAGGAGTGCGTGCAGGCCAAGATTCGGGCCTTTTCCAAGTCGCACATTGTGCACGCGCCGCCCAAGGAGTGGAAGAACGGCGTCAAGCCCATCGACGCCCTGACGGCGGTGCCCGCCATCCGCGCCTCGGGCTGGTCGCCGGCCATGGACGAGCTCGCGCGCCAGCCCCGCCACGGGCCCAACTACAACCAGCTCCTCCACCTGCTCAACGACATGCAGAACCACGCCTCGGCCTGGCCGTTCCTCATCCCCGTCAACAAGGACGACGTCGCCGACTACTACGACGTCATCAAGGAGCCCATGGACCTCAGCACCATGGAGGTCAAGCTCGAGGCCGACCAGTACGCCACGCCCGAGGATTTTACCCGCGACGCCAAGCTCGTCTTTGACAACTGCCGCAAGTACAACAACGAGACGACCCCGTACGCCAAGTCGGCCAACAAGCTCGAAAAGTTCATGTGGGCCCAGATCAAGGCCATCCCCGAGTGGTCGCACCTCGAGCCGTAGGAGGGCTCCGTCGCCATCACGCGGACCGGCGCACGCGGCAGGGGACGCGGTCGGCCCCGCCGCGGCGGGGGCGACAGCGGCGACGCGGGCGCGCCCTCGTGTCGCCGCCCGGCGATTGACCGTCAGGCCCAGGCGATCCCGTTCATCACGCGGGAGCCAGGCGGCAAACGGCCAAACGGGGCAGGACACGCACGAGGCGGAGCGCTTCGCTTGTGGCGCCGAAGGCGCCGCTACGACGCCACCGGAGGCGTC